AACATTATTACCATTTTTGTTTATTAACTGTCTTGTTCACTGGTATATCATCAAAGCATAAAACACTGCCTGAGACACAGTAAGGAAGTGCTTACCTTGATGTACCCTGAGCCTTTCCTCTGGTGCCTCAACTTTGTACAGCAGATTCCTTTCAGAGAACCCTGGGTCTCCCACAGACCAGACCTGAACCTCCTGGAGGTATCATCCAATCAGGTTGTAGCTGAGTTCACTGAGTAGCCTGATTGCCCATCCCCAGGGGAACACAAGATTCATTCTTAGGCAACCTGTGACCAGCAATACCCAACTCACCAACCTCACATTCTGGTTATTCCTGTTCACTCTCTCAATATATACTTGTCAGTTTTCTCATCCCCAAGTCACTGCTCTCCGCTTCTTCTTCTCGGCCCAGTCTCCCACTTCTCTCCCCCATGTACCATACTCTCACTTTCCACTGTATTCTGTGAAACTTTGTTCCTTTACGTCCTCAGCTTCTTCAGTGAATATTCCTTCCATGTTCTGCTTTCATAGAAATCTGGGTCTCCCTGAAAACACCATTTCCCCTACAGCCCTGCATCAAGAAGGCTGTTCTTTCTTCTACGGCCCATGCATCTGAGGATCTCTCATAGCCATTTTGTACTCCGAGCCACCAATATAGCATCCTTATTTAAAAAACAAACAAAAACCTGTTCATTGTTCATGCTATCCAGAAATACTACCTCCTATACTCCAGTGCTGTTCTCATTTACTCCCTCTCCATTCCCTAAGACCTTAGCTCACAAGACATCCTTTCCAATTAAGCTTAGGAGGCTGTTCAGATGGCTTAGAATTTTCAGTTTTATCTCAATTACAAAGCATTCAGTTGGTACTCAAGAAATATTTGCTAAATGAAAGTGTGAAGAAATAAAATCTGGGGCATGAAGCAAAAGGCAAGCTGAGGTTCAAGTCTCATTTGGGGGCTCTATATTAGGTGAGTACTATTATTTACACTTTTAATGGGAAATTGAGGCTTAGCAGTTAAATAATTCACTCAAGATTATAGCTAGTAAGATGTGAAACTGGACTTTAAAATTTCATGTCCAACTCCACAGCCCATGTTTTTAACCTCAAAACCCACCACCCTCCTGAACAACAGAGCTTGCAGTTAAAAGGCAAGGTTTTATACAGCTCACTGCATATGAGTAATCTGAATAATTTTCATAAGGTCAACAAGTGATTCTGTCATGTATATATCAGCAGCAGGGAATTCTCAAACAAACAAACAAACAAACAAACAAAACAGAAAACTAGTCCACAAAGACATAATTAAAAGAATATAATGAAGACAAAAAAAATCCAAAACATTTATTTCCAGATTTTTGTAGTATCACTGGAATATAGACATTTTAAGAGCATTTCTATATATTAGATTCTCAAGAACAGAACCTGAGATGGAGAGACAATCCTCATGCAACTATATCTATGGTACATTCTCAATTAAGAGTCAGCCAACTATGATTTGTGAGCCAAATCCACCTCTCTATTTGTTGTTTGTATGGCCCTTGAGTTAAGAATGTCTTTTACATTTTTAATAGTTGGGGGAAAAATCAGAAAGTATTTCATGACACATAAAAATTGTATTAAATTTAAATTTCAGCCATAAATAAAGTTTTACTGGAATACAGCCATACTCATTTGTCTATATGTTGTCTATGGATGCTTTCATGTTACAGCAGCAAAACAGAGCAGTTGAGACAGAGACAATAAGGCCCCCAAGCCCTAAAATATTGACCATCTGGCCCTTTACAGAAAAAGTTGGTCATTCCTGTTATAGATCACTTCTTCTGACTTATCTTCCATAGTTCGCAAACTCTGTCTTCAGTTGTATCTAATTTGATCCTAAATCTTTGTCAAGTTTTTCATTTTGGTCACTGTAATTTTTTTTAAATTCTAGTTCTTTATTTTTCAAACCTAATATTTTACTTTTTATAGTTCTCTATTCCATGTATATAATCTTATATTTTATTTCCTTAACTATAGTATATATAATTGCTGTATAAACAGTGTCTGGTAATTTCAATTTTAGAAGTCTTTGCGAGTTCCCCTCTGATATCTGTTGTCTTTCGGGGTCTCAATAATGGAGCCTTGTTTCTATAAGTGCTTAGTTTTATTTTGTTGCTTTTTGTTTTCATAGCTGCTCATTTCCTTGAAAAGTTATTTGTGAGGAACTGATGTATCTTGCTCCAGAAAAGGTTTGCATTTGCTTTTGCCAGGAGCCTGGAGGCACTGCCAGTCTGGAAGACCTTAAACTGAGTTCTTGGATCACCTGAGTGATAAGAACTCTAGCTCTGAATATCAAATGTTTCTGTTTTATTAACTTATTCCTCTGATTGACTCAGAGCTCTAGCAACCTTTTCTGCAGTTCTAGTGTAGATGTACAAGTCTAGTTCTAGTTCATCCTTATGTTGAGTTATTTGCGATTTCAGCTTGACATGAAAAGGATTGAAGATCAAAATATAAAAGAGATGTTAATAGACCTAGAGGTTAGAATGAGGTCTAACATTTCATCAGAGTTTCAGAAGAGGAGTAGAGAGAAAGTGGGGCAGAGGCAATACTTAAAAGAGATAATGGTTGAAAATTTTCTAGAACATATGAATTATTTATACTTAAGAAGCTAAATGAAACCAATCAAAATAAATGATTCTTACACGTGTATACTTATTCATACTTCATAGAACCCTTTCTTTTATTCTTCATAAAACCTTAGGAAATGGGTATTGTTATCTATATTTTTCATAAGGAAAAATTTGGATTCAGAGATCTAAAATGAATTATCTAAGGTCCTGTAACTTTAATCAGTAGGAGCATAATATGCAAATTCAGTTCATCTAATCCAAGTTCATTTCCTTTCCTATACATTAGAAATAGAACACAATACAACATAGCAGAGAAGGATTTTATAAGGGGAGATCTTAAAATTGCTAAGGAATTACCCACAAAAAACAGAATCCGGAACTTGAAAACTTCTCCTTGGATGCACAGAAAAACCTTTTTCCACATATCCGTGCTTTCTTCTGAAGACAGCATTGGTTTGGAAAAAGCCTTTGCAGTAAGAAGCAGGCAAGTTCCACCTTGTACATTAAACTGTGAGTTAAAGCAAATGAGGCCAAGCTAGTTCCCTGACCTTAAGACCAATTTGACTCAATTGGTTCATGGAACCAGCCTGGTCCACAACAAAAGGCTACACCACAGCCTACTGTATACCACCCAACTGTCAGGACAGCAGGGCAGGAATGTCCCCCTAATTCTCCTCCTTATACTCTTGAAGACAATTTAAATACTGTGGTTAACATGTCCCACACGACATGTCTTCTGTTCATCAATGTGATTCAACTTGATAATTACTACTCTCGATTCTGGTGGCATTTCACTTGCTTAAAATCTTCATTTGCTTTTTTTTTCTTTTTTTCCAGAGCACTAAATTAAGAATTTTCTAAAAGTAAAGCCTGTGGCTTTCTAACATAATCAAGCCCTATTCTCCAGATGTTAACATGTAGTTGACATCTCTCTACTAGCTTGGTATAAAGAGCAGACCATTCTTCCTTCATGGCTGCCTTCACATGTGTAAAATATTGGAGAATTACAACTCCTGAATTCACAGTGTGAGGCACCAGAGCCAAAAAACCAGATGCCAGGAAAAGGAGCTAGATGCCAGACAATTCAGTAGGAAAGCCAGAGAGCCCCTGATTTGATGTCTTATATGCAGGTATAGCCATCACTATCAGAAGCAGCTGTGGTCAAGGCCTCATGCAAGAGAAGAAAAGGAGACACAATTCTGATCTTTTATGCCTGTCTGGTACAGGACAGAGGACATAGGTATACAAAGATGACTAACAACAAAAAGGATCTATAGGCAGTTTTGAAACCATTTATTGTGCATCAACCATGTGAGAGGCCCTATACAGGGCATGAACGCACAGAGTGGATAGAGCATCTTGATCTAGTCATCCACCTATTGTTCGTCATTCGCCTTGATGTAGTCATCCACCTATTGTCCATCCATCCATCTGTCCATCTAACCATGCATCCATCCTTGCAGGCATGCATTCGGTATTTACTGAGCATCTAACAAGTATATGCCAGTACTGTCTAGGTGTTAGGGACACCAAGAAGATGAGAACAGGGAAGGATTCTAGAAGGATTAGAAACTATTTACTTGAAAGCCATTATGAATTAATCATTTCAATTAAATCCTTACAACAACTCTGTGGGGCAGGTATATTGTTATCCTCATCTTACGGAAGAGTGGTTAAGTAGCTTGCCCCAAATCACAAGGAGAGTAAATGGCAATTTGGGATTTGAATCAAGCTTTGCCTGGCTCTGAGCCTGTGCTCTTAATAAATTAATAATTATTACATAGTTAATTATAGTATAATGAGATAATTGGTGACAGAGGTGGAAAATTCACAGGAAGTACAGAGGAAGAGATAATTAATTTTGTGTAAGGTGGAGGCACTCTTTGATTTTTTCCTAGTAAACAAGCAAGGAAAGGAAATTTCAGGCACAGGTAAGAAACATATGCAAAGGCAGAGGAAAAATGAGGGTTTACCTATGAGAGAATGACAGGAGGAAGACAGGCCTGATCATGAAAGGCTTTGCATGCTTGGCTGCAGAGCACCTTTGAGAGGCCACCACCTCCTACTGCAACTCAACAACCACCCTCCATTCTGTAGCAAAGCCTTTCCAGGGGCCTCCTTGTCCTTCAAAATCCTGATAGTGGCTCCTGCTGTAATGAGCTGTCTGTGCCAGCCAAATCTAAGGCCTCATGTGTGCACACACATTCCCACCCTCTCAGGGCCCCTGCAGACTGTAACATACTTCGGGATTCTGCTGACAGAGGGTAGAGTCCCAAGGGAATATCCCCAACGACCACAGGGGTGATGAGAGCTGACCCTTCAAATTTGGAGCCCACCTCTCACAGACCTCTCCACCACAGAGTCAAGTCACTTTCTCATTCTACTCACAGTTTAGAGTCCAGCTTCAGGAGGAAGCCCAACCGATCATACTCTGCAAAAGAAAAGCAGAAAATGTCACTGAAGGCAAGCCACTGCTGACACTAGCAGACTGCATTCCCCAGTCCAAGACCATGGGGACGGACAACTGCTTTAAAGAACAGATACAAACATCTGTTTTGTGAAGGACCAGGTTCAAGCCAGGTATTTCCCAGGCCACCTGGGCCAACAAGTCCTATGCTGGTTAAATGTGGTGCCTGAAACTAAAATTTAGTAAACCACAAAAGTAGACCCCTGGAGAAGTAAGAAGGTCAGAAGAAACCTCTGCTTCCTCTAAGCTCTATGCACAATTTTGCTCATTTAGCCATGTTAACTGTGCGGTAAAAATGCGGCAGCTAAGGGGTCTTCAAATCTATGGCAACGATCCTTTTCATAACAATCACAAATAATTGATAGATGTGATTACATAAGGAATAAGGAATTTAAAATGAAATCTAAAAACAAATTAATAAGATGTTTTCAACAAATGATACATCATTAATATTTTATTTAAGTTCTTTATATCTTGTCTCATTCTAAAATGAAGTTAGAGCAGTTTTAAAATTGTATGAAGTACAACATTTTAAAAAGAAGAAATCTGGGGGTTAAGGATAAATAAACATAGGAAAAATAATAAAATGCAGCCAGGATAAGAATACCAAAAGTAGATGTCCTAAAGTCCTCTCTGCTTACCAGAGGATTGCAGATCTATCCCCAAGATTCCTCACAGCTAAAACGAAATGCAAAGCACTGATACAAATGGTTTACGGAGTCCATAAAATAAACTGGGAGAATCACAGCTATCCCTGATACTAAGACTTGAGGGAAGTTTCCTCTGCGCCCCCAAAAATATTTGTGTAAGGAAAATGATAGGATGTGTCATAGGATTGTTTCTTTACAGCTTGGTTCAATGATTGCAAAGTGTGTGTGTGCGTGTATGTGTGTGTGTAGAATGGCTTCACTAAAATAAGGTGGTCTATGAATGCAGTTCTCAGCTGGTGCTGGCCTGGCTTCATCTGAAGATAAAACGGAATCATTAAGACCAAACAATGGGATGGAAGAGGCCAGGCAGCAAGGCTTTCAAGGAACTCAGTCTCACTAAGCAATGAATGGCCAAGAGAGGGAAATTACACATGCTGACAAGTATCTCACAGGAATCATTCTGTAAGGCCAATTAAAGCCAGACTCATGTGCTTTTATAAGCAGCTGAGTTGCAGTGAGAGAATAATTCCTCTTCTTAAAACTGAAGATACCAACTAGGACACATAACTCAAGAGAGGGCTTGCTTCCCAAGAGATCATGATTGGGTAAGTAAAAGGCTTTCCTCAAAATAATTCTGGTTTCGCTCTAACTCAGATAAATGAATGAGATTTTGCTTAACATATGAAGAACTTATAAGGTTTCAATTTAAAAAATAAACTAAAAACAAAATTTGCAAAAAGTTAGTTTCAAAGTTTAATACTCTTTCAATAATTCTATTTTATTGTTTCATGAAAAAGAAAATCCCATTAACTTGGTAAACACCTGTTGCTTCTCTCCTGCTCCCCCCACCCCGTCATAACCTTGGGACAATTATCTTGCTATTGCTCCTCTGACCCAAGTTACAACCCCCTTGGACGTAGGCTGAATCTACACTTTGGCTGATTCCTTCCAGAGAAGGCAGAGAATGTTTTCTCCCTGTTGCAAACTCAAATGTCAAGGGCCAAGCAAGAACACAATATAAATGAGAAAGTGAGAGAATGTGATACCTCTTGCAGCAGCTCACACCACTTATGTTAGCTGCATTAAAAACAGATTCTGTTAAAATGTCTTTTTTTTTTTTTTACCACGTATTTTCTGTAACCATAATTTTATCTGTGGTTTATATTCAATGGCATCTTAAGTTTTGTTTTACAACACACACTAATTGCATATTAAACATGAAAGAACACATTGCATTTCTAAAGAAATTATGTCCTCCTATGGCTTTCTTGGACTATCTGCTGTTTTCCTTTCACTTAAGAGACATGAGTACCAGCAATATTTCACTTTACGCTTTAAGAAAAGGTAACTGTGTGGCTCGATGACAAATGGCAGCCAACACTGGCTTCGGATCAGTGTGTGAGCTGATGCAGGGATCATTCTGCCTGCTCCTTTCCAGTGGTTCTTTCCCTGCCGTCCAGTCGCTTCCTCACACACATGCACCCACCAGCTGAGGAGTCCAAGGGGACCCTCGACAGATCTCCAGAGCTCTCTGTGTGCAGCTCTCTCCTCTCTGGTACTCTGCCTGCGACTTCTAGCTGCCTGGGTTACCCCGAATTCTCAACTCTGTTTCCTCTTGGGAAGGCTCTTGGGTTCTATCTAGGTTGTCCTTCTGTGTGCTGTGGTCTGGAAACTCTGTTCAGGCTGTTAGTTTAGGTAATTATAGGGCTAATCTCATTTGTCTCCCTTTCAGAGATCAGTGTCCTCTGCTACTTACTGTTCAACATTTGCAAAATCTTTTTCCATATATTTTGTCTGTTTTTTAGTTGCTCTGCCTTTCTTCACTTTTCCCTTTATCCAGTCTAGATCTTACCTTGCTCTACTGTTCAGTTTAGCCTGCACAATGATCTTTCCAATGCACCCAAACCGAATCTCTCATTCCTGCCCAACCCTCTCTCCTGAGCTCCAGACTTGTATGTACAGCTGTCTCCTGAACATTTCCACATCCTATAGACACCGAAAACTCAGGCTGCCCCACACAGTTCATTTTCATTTTCACCCCACTCATACATGCAGACCTGGTTCTCCTCTTGCATCCTCTACCTTATAAATGGTACTATTCACCCAGCCGCCCTAGCTTGAAACCTGAGAGAATTCCTTGATTCCTGCTTCTCTCTTATTTAATTACCATGTCCTTTTATTTTCATCTTCACAATGGATCTCAAATACACTTACTTTTCTCTATTTCTACTATCCTTGACTAAGAAGCCAGCTTCCTTTCTCGCATGGATTATTGTCATGACCTCCTACCACATCTTCCTGACTCCTGCCTTGACTCTCTCTAATAGATACTCCATGTAACCAGAGCTATCTTTCTATAGGATAAAAATGGTTATGTCATAACTGCTTAAAGCCTTCTATTGTTCTCAGGATAAATCATCTTAGTTTACAAGGTCCTTCGTGATCTGGCCTACAGCGACCAGTCCAAGTTCCCTTTTTGGGTCCTCGCATTGCCCCTATTCTGCCCCTGCCATACTCCATGATCCAGCCAGACTATTTTCTTTGCCTCCAAAGTATTTTTATTACTTCCAGGCCTTTGTACATGTTTTTCCCTTCACTTAAAACATTATTCACAACCCTTTTCACATTGGTTATTTCCTATACACTGCTCCTGAATGACCCAAAGTCACCTCAAACTCAAAATGCTACAAATCAGACTTATCTTCACCCTATCCCCCATACGTTTTTAGGTTTGTTTTGTTTGGTAATGGCATTGCCATTCAGCTCCCCAAGAAATAAATTTTTGGTGTACCCTATCTTTCTCATTTCTAAACACAAGCGGGGGGGTGGGTGGTGAGGAGAGAAATAGACAGGAGTAAAGGGGGTCAAATATACAGCGACAGGATATTTAACTTTGAGTGGTGAACACACATTATACATATGACATTAATGAATTGTACACTTGAAACCTACATGATTTTATTAACCTATGTCACTCCAATAATTTTAATTAAAATACATACAGACAGATCCTCCTCCCTATACCATAGTCACTGCTTTTGCTGGAGTCTTTACTGTTGTCCAGATAATGCAGTTACCTCTTAATCTGTCTGTCTTCACAGACTCACCTTCTGCCATTCCTCTCTAGGCAGCCTTTATGCCTAATAGCCATCGCAGATGATGTTTCTAACATCTTTAACGCCCTCACTCACCTTGCTGACTTGGAAAACACCTGCTCATCCTTCAAGATACGGCTATCACCAAGGCTAAATCTAATAGATATTTTTGTAGCGCCACAAAGACCTTCAAGGTTTGGGCTCTGCCTACTTTTCCATCCTATTTGTGCACTTTTTCCTCCCCTATGCTCTCTGCTTTGGCCATTTGGTCTTAATTGTATTCCCTAAATAAGCTATGAGCTCTCTCAACATAGGACTTTTCCTTAGGAGCAGTTTTTTTCCTGCCCGAAATGTGTCCTCATTTCTTTATTTGGTTAATTCTTGCTCATCCTGTAGACCCTGGTTAAAACACAGTCTTTTTGAAGAACATTCCCTGACCCTTCTGTCTAAACTGCAACCCCCTTACATGTTCATTACTTGTCCTCAGAGCCCTTAAATTCCAGTTTGGAATTATACATTTATCAGACTATTTGACTAGTGTCTTTCCTCCATGAGACTAGAAGTTCTGCTAAGGCATCATAACTAACATTGTGCTTGGCATGTTAAAAGAATGAGGAATTAATGCCTTCTCTGATCTAAACCATTAGCCTGTTTCCTTATATGTGCTCATCACCAAATGGAGAGAACTTAATGCATTTCTGCCATTATTTGCTCGTAAGTCTGTAGTGCACATCTGTTGTTTTTGTCCTCCTTTAGAAATAAGCCCCTTGAATTTCTTTCAGGCAACTACTCTTCCCTCACTGCTGGCAAGAGGTGAGACTGTCCACAGGATTAGCCTAACCAAAGCATAGTTACTTGGTAAAATCTAGGTTGATTGGACTCTTTTTCTCTTACGCTAAGTGATACAAGGGAGAAAAACTATGAAGAGATGGACCATTTGTTGCAATCTAGATTCCTGGCACTGCCCTTCATGTCCTGAGGGCCAGCTATTAGGCTTTTAATTTGATTCTGTGGGTACCTATGTCCTTCCAGTAAATTCCTTTTTCTTTTGAGTTAGCTTGGTCAGTTTCTGTTGCATACAATTAAACAACTCTAACATTATGTATCTGTACCTCTAGCACCTAATATAGAATCTGGCATAGAACTACTGTTCTGTAAACGTGCAGAATAAATGGAAGAATAAATGGAGTGACCAAATGACCAAGGGAGCCTAATAAAT